TGTGCTTGTGGTTGTAGTTGTACTTGTGGTAGTAGTTGTTGTTGTAGTTGTGGTAGTTGTAGTTGTTGTTGTTGATGTAGTTGAGGTTGTTGCTGTTGTTGATGTGGTTGAGGCTGTTGTTGTTGTTGTTGTCATTGTTGTAGCTGTTATTATTATAATTGTGGTTGTTTCCGTAGTTATTGTCGTTGATGTTGATGACGTTATCGGTCCTGTATGAATCAAGAAGATTGAATGAGATTTTCTTGATACCTCATCACTTCTCTGTCGATTAACTGTATATCTGCCTTTAAATAGATTCGTATGGATTTCCTAATCTCTCCTCATTTATAATATTTATTTATAATTATGTTTCTATTACGACAACTGAAATAAACCAGTTGACACACTGTCAATCAGTACTCAAATTTTTTCAAATCTTGTTTATTGACTCAAATGATATTATTCTCTGAAAATTTTCGAGAAAACTATATCTTTTACAAATAATAAAACTTATGAAATAGCTATTTAATGCCAAGTAACTACTTTATTTTTGTAAAATGGAATCTTTTTATTCATGGCTATATTATGTAAAGTTTGCTTAGTAAAGCACGGTGCTTTATTGCAATAACTAATATCATCATTCAAGTATAGAAGCGAAGTCTAAATTCTTAAACTCTAAAAGTTTCGAATTTGGATTTCGCGCTGTAACATATCCGAATAGCTTGACTTAAAATGGAGCGTCACATTCGGATATCTTCTATTACCCGTAAATCTATGCATATACTCTCTCAATATTCACGATAAAAATAGTCACTATCTGATCTAGAAGTGCTGTTTTTCTTATATAAGATTTCAGATTCCTACATTTATTTTCCAATCGTATTCGCATCGAAAACTATTCAAAATAATTTCTAGGTTCCATTTAAAAGCGCCTACGCTATTAAAAAAGTGATAAGAAAATCAGTCTACTCACCGATAACAACACCATTGGAACTGGTATCAATATTATTATTCCCGTTGGGATAAGATTGAACGTGGCAAAGCTCTAAAGATAAGCTGCTTCCATCGTCTGTTGGGATACTGATATCGGTCATCTTATTGAATTTTTCATGAATACTGGTATATAAATCGATTTGATAGGTCACGTTTTGGCATGGCAAACTTGATGGACAATTTAAGTCAATACTAAAGATGATAGCGGGACCTGAACTATCGGTTTTATCACATTGAAGGCTATATATAAATTCATAGGTAAATATGACTAGTAGAAATAAATTAAAAAGAAAATTACTCGCGGCGACGTCGACCTTTGGCAATGGTTGCTAGTGCACTACTGATGGCTTTAACGGTGATGGTACCTATGGGTGCATTGACTGCTTCTTGCAGCTAAAATATATTACATAATAGCAGCTAACATTAAAAATAAAAATTACGGAAGTGGCGGTTGCTACTCGGTTGGTGACCGATAGCGTAGCACGCTTTCTCGCGAATCCAGCTGGCAACAGGTAGGAAGCATCAAGCGAAGTAAGTGCATTCCCTACAAAAAATTAGATACGTGTAAGATAAAAGCAATAAATACACACTAACTAGTGGCCAGTGACGTGTTGATGCTGGCAGTGTTATTGTTGTTCGTGATGCTAAAATTTGTTGTTGATACATAAAGCGGAATCAGCGAAATAACAATTGTGCATGCGACAGCAAATAATGCCACTGCGAATAGACCAGGTATATAAAACCTATAGAATTAGTAAAAGATGACAAAGTTCATCAAATGCACTCAAAACTCACGTTCGAGAACGTCTTAAATGTAAATGAGCCATAGCTTAGCGCCAATTAAAAGGGTATTGTCTTGAAATCAGGACTGATCTGAAATAAATTTCTGTTATGAAAATTAAATGGTGAAGAGAAGTCAATCCGATAGTTTCTGATTGTAAGCGAAATCCTAGCTCACAACTGTCATCATCCTAGTTCGAACTGTTCACATAGACACCCTTACCAATCCAAACTGGGTTGACGATGTTCAAAAAACGCCCATAAACAGCTACCAATTAAGATTCATTGATCGCCTAAATATATGATAGGGAAGGTGATTTTGTGGCAAAATGATTTATTTTAAAATAAATAAATTTTTCAAAAAGACAATCAGTTTATATTATTACTAGAGGAGTTTAGCGGATGCCAGTTTATGTCTCACTATTGTCAGCATCTCACTACAAACTCACCTACACCCAAATACAGAGGATACAGAATCTGACTTAATACCCAAGCAGACGAAGAATTAGTTTAGTTGAGAGTGATGCATAATATCCTACTATCGAAGTAGAGCTAGAATAATAGCCGGTTGTGATAATATATGATATGTTTTTAGTCTCTTGTGTAGGTCCTGTCTACTACTTTGTAACAAAGGGTGAAGATGAAGTAGGAAATCTAAAAACGATGGTTCGCTTTTAATCGAGTTAAAATATATTAGATACTGTCATTAGATAAATCTGATGATCTAGAAAAATCGCAATAGTTATTCATGTATTTATAGTACTTCTAAATAGAGTAACAATTCTAAGTATGAATGATATCGTTTGAATGGTATAAACTAAATACAAAGGATATAGAAGTAATTACCTTGAAATAATATTCAAACACGATAGAAGTCGTAGCAGAATAATGGAGTATACGAGTTTTGAATTTAATTGAAAGCAAATAACTGAACGAATATGTAAAGAGCATACGCTTTTATATTTTCCTTTTTATACGCTTCACTGATGCATAAATAATAATTTTCATTTTTTTTTCTTATATTTTATCTCATTAAAAAAGCAAGCAAACAATTAAGCAAATTGGAAAATATGTATTTTTGTTTTTATTCATATATGTAACGCTAATTGCTTATAATTATTTTAGATAGGAAAAATAAATGTAAGTGATTGATCAATTATCTTACATGAATAAATATTTTTTTAAATGTATATAAATCTAATTACTTATAATTGTTGTAGATAGGAAAAATAAATGTGAGATAGTAATTGATCATTTATCTCACAGGAATAAAATATAATTGCTGTTGTCCTACATAAATAAAATATAATTGCTGTTGTTCTACTTAAATAAAATATGACTGACCATTTTGTCTTATATAATTAAAATATACGTAGGTAGTCATATTCAATAGCATGTAATTGGACGACGTTTTTTTCTCATGTATGTAACACTAACTGCTTATAATTAATGTGGATAGGAAAAATAAATGTGAGTAATCGATCATTTGTCTTACAGGAATAAAATATATGTAGGTAGTCATATTCGAAAGCTTGTTGTTGGACAATATCTTTTCCTTATTTTACGTATAACTATTGTATGTTATGATTATGACAGTTCTCAAAAATATTCACTCGTTAACAGACAAAAACGAATATTTTGGAAGTATTTTGCTACTAGTAGGAAGGAAGAGTTATTTCATATGACATTTTTAAGACTTATATTGTTCAGATTCAGAAATTATTATATATAAAACACAGACTTGATCAGCGAAGTTTTTGTATTAATTTAGGACTATGCTAGGTAGGTTCTTTGTTGCACGTTATGAGAGAGCATATGAGTCAAGAATTACTTATTTTCAGAAGAATATTAGCATGTTTTTATAGTTAGTTTAAAATACTACACGATAAATAGTTAAAGTCTAAATAAAACTGGATAGATGGTTCCGAATTAAAACTGACCGGTGATCTATTTGTGAGTGTGACAAGTTCTTTTTCTGAAGAATAGAATGAAGTAATCCGATTATTTTAAAAGAAAGCATAGATAAACTTACTAGTTATAAAATAAGACGGTCAATGCTGTTCGTCAAAAAAAATAATTTAAAAAATCTCATTCCAACAAATAAAACTACTTTTGAATAAGATTTGTCATATACACATTGTTTTGCCTCACAGAAATAATTCTTGATTTGACAATATGATTTAGTAATTTTTTAATAATCGAAAAAACTTCGTACTACATTTTTGCATACAAACTCAACTCGTGTCTCATCTAGTTAAATAAGTAGCGCAAAACGTATAGCAACATAATTTTTTAACTATACAATTAAAATACAGATAATAAACAAAAGTACTTTCAGACATAATGTAGTAATGAATAAAACTTCATTGTGCCAGAAAATATCGATCAATATCAATATTGTCGAGTAGCATTGGTCTTAATCTAGATTCTCAATTCATACACTTATGCATTTATCACATTACAAAGATATTATGATGTACGAGAAAAGATAAATATATAAAATTAATTCAACAATTGAAGAGTTGATTTATTAAATTTCGTACGATTTCTATGAACCTTGTCTAGATATGAACACTTGAATGAACTCAATGTATGTTGAATTTTAAATTCTTTCGTTTATTTCTTGTTTAAAAAAAATCACTACAATAATGTAAAAAATTTTAAATCAAATATATTATGATGATAAATCTAAATGTTCAGAAATAAAAAGAATGGTATTAACGAATATATCACTAGCATTGGGTACTTCACTAAGTGAATGATTACTATCATAAACATATAATTTTGTTGGAATCTTTCTAGCTTTTAAACATTCATAATAACGAAGACCAATACTATATGGTACACGTCGATCTTTCTTTCCTAAATGTAATAAAACTGGTGTTTTAACTTGATCAATAAGACGAATTGATGATCTTTCAATAAGATATGTAATAAGTGCTGTATCCATAAAAAGATTACGACCAGTTTCAAAATCAAATTGTGCATTCGTTGATTGAGCTATAGCCCAATCAGGTATATCCGATGTTGCATAAACATGAAGTAGATCAGTAACTGGATTTCGTAAAACAGCAACTGCATATTCATCTGGATATTCTCCAATAAGACGGCCAATAATTACACCTGCATGTGATCCACCTATGAGTACAACTGGTCGACTTGGTTCAGTATACTTGAGACAACGTTGAATAGCTTCATGACAATCTCCAACATCAGTTTTAGATATATTACCTAATAACTTGTCAATTGAAGCCTGTCCAAAACCAAGTGAACCTCGATAATTAACAATAAGAAGATCAAAACCTAATCCAATATAAGCAACAACACCAACATAATAATCCACTAGAATAAGATTTTTGAAAAATAAATGTAAACTATCAAATAATTATTAATAACTTACAAGAGATGACTGAATTTGGTCCACCATGTATTAATACCATTAAAGGACGTTTTGCTTGTGTATCACGTGTATGAACATAAATTGATTCAACAGGGATTGTTTCATTATCAGGAAAAAATCGATCAATATTCCATACAACTTGATTTTTCTCTTCTTTTTTAAATTCATGTTGAACAATTAAATGCCAACCATTATTATCTTTATCGGTTTTATTCAATGTTTTCAAATCATAGATATAGAATCGATAAGGTGTACGACAATCAACAATATTAACTGCAACATAATGACCAAATATAGCAAGACCATTTATAGACGTATCAACACCCAATGGTGAATCAAGTAAAATCATTTTTTGTTCAGTAAAATCATAAATATATAGAACATTACGTGAACCAGATACCGAACGAAGAAGAAGATAACGTCCATCACAAGAATAACATAAATGTGGAAGTGGTAGATAAAGACCTTTAAATTGTGTATCCCATTCAGCTGTAAATGGATCAGTATTTACATTCGAATATTTAACATTATCGACTCGATCAATTAAAATTTTTTCTTCTTTTGTTTGTGTATTAAATAATATTAATCGTTGACATTGTTTATGTGCTCCATTAATATCACTTTGAAGATAAACAAATTGATTATCTGTTTTAGGTAAATGTCGTGGAAATAATCGACAGATTTTATCAAATTCTGTTAATTGTATCCATTCATTAGTACGCCAATTACATTTAAAAAAAGCTGATGAACGATTTTCACAAAAAATTAAACCAAGTCGATAAGGTTCAAGAGGAAATGCAACTAAAATAACTTCATCTTGATTTGTTGTCCATGTACATTGACCAAAATATAAATCTTTTGGATGATTTTCAATTAATTTAACTTGTTTTGTATCAACATCAAATACACAAACAACACATGTTTCCAATGTTTCCATTTGTTCACCCCAATTTTCACGATATGTACTAAATGATTCTCCAAGATCATCAAGTTTTTCAGCTGTAAAATAGGATTTAAATGGTTTACGTTTTTCTTCAGCTGTAAAAATTAATCGACGTGAATCAGGACTCCATTCAAAAAAACTTGCATAATCATTTTTTAGGTAAAACTTTTCCATGTGGTGATATTTTACTATCACTAACTTCATAACCAAATATTAAATGTTCATCATGCCATATTTGTACATAATTTAATTCTTGTTCGCCTTTCATTTCTTTTGTTACTAATGCAAGATATTTTCCATCAGGAGAAACAAGACGACGAACAATATTTTTATTTATTGTTGTTACATTACTTGTAAATAAAAGTTGACGAGTTTTTAATGAATAAGTAAATGAACGAGTATAAGTTAGATTTTCTAATTTAACAAGATCCATTGTTGAAAAATAGGGTGTTAAATGGAGAATTTCATCATTTGAATCTTGATGGCAAGATTCAATATCAGATAGAGTTGGTTGACCAGCATAATGACGATATGTTTCAATAGCCGATGTTAAAATTTTATTATCTGTTGTTGGTGTTGGCGTTGATGTTGTCATTTTCAATCTGAAAAGTAATTGAAACTAGAGTTACGTCAAATTTGAATAAGATATCAGCATATATCGAATTCCTTAGACTTTCGTATAATTCTTTTGTCCTAAAGTATCTTTGACAAATTGAAAATAACTTCATCATGGAATCTCATTACCTCTATGCTAGCTAAAAGTAAAGGCTATGGAACATCAAGATTAAGATATAAATAAATAAAATCGTCTTGTACTACGTTCAATCGATTATGTGCTCCATTATTTGAGGATGTGGATCTGGATCTGAGCGTATCGTTCTTCTTTTATCCTCGCTCTTAACCGCACACCCACTATTAATTAATACATGCACTAACCGATCATCCGATAAATTCTTACAACTTATTAAACGTGTTAAATGTTGTTTTAAGTTAAATTGTTTAACAAATAATTGTCGAGTAGAAAACAGTAAGTGATGCATAACATACATTTTTTCATATCTAAAATGACTATCTAAAAATAATCCATATAGTAATAGATGTGTTCTCAAATCTTAGATGTTAATAGAATATGTTCTGGATTAGGCACAAGACGCCATAATAATTTATGCTCTGATATATTATTTTTTCCGTGGTTTTCCTGTTTTGAATTAGCTGGTATCAAAGTTTTGACTATTTCAACTACATCTTTTGCACAACCCCATGAAAGTGTTACACCTGAACCAGAATGGCCATAACAATGTACAATATCTATTCCATCATTTGTTTTTTCATGTTCAAGACGTACACCATTATCTCGATAAGGTCTTAATCCAACTTGTACTTTTCCCTTATGAATATCTTCAAGAGCCGGTAAACATTTTATACATGTACGAAGAATCTTTTGAGTATCATTTTCATCTATATTTGTATTCCAATCATTTAATTGAAACGTTCCACCTAATACAACCGAATCAGCTTGTGGTATAATATAACCCATACCATCATCTGTATCAAATACATAAACTGATTTAATCCATGGTGCATGAACACGAATAATCTAAGTAAAAGAAAAATATTGAAGTTCCAGTAAAAAGATGATTCAATTAAAATATACTTGTCCACGTGCTGGTCGAACTGTTTCATCATCAGCTAAATATTTTGAAGCTATACCTGAGCAATTAATAATAACATCAGCTGTATTTTTTAATTCATTGAATGAATGAATCTTCTTTTTTATAATCTTAACTCGATTATTTTGTGAAAGAAACCGTTGTAATTCCAATAAGTATTTCTTCACTTCAACAGTAATTGTTGACATAACAAAACCTGATGTTGGTTTCAAATGATCAAATATATTAATTTCATGTTTATCTAACCATCGAAAATGTCGAACTAATTCTGCTTGTGCCGGTTTTACAAGTGTTGTATGATCAATTTCATCTGAATTTTGATTATTATAACCATGAAGTATATATGCTGAAATTTTCATAATACCAGCACGAGCAGCTTTAGTAGAAAAATATTCACTAAGAAATATATCATATGTATAACCAGCTCGACGAAGTGTCTGTTCATCAATATTTTCTATTCCATATATCTCCCAAAGTCCAGCTGAAATATCAGCAGTTGTATCAGGTGTAAATGTTTCACTGATTATTGTTAATTGAAGATTATCATTTGTCGAATATTCTTTTAATAGAGTACAAGCTGTTGTTAAACCAATAATACCAGCACCGATAATTGTTACTCGATGGATTTTATTTAAATGTGACATAGTATTAAGTATGAAACAAAAACAAAAATATAAAGGTAACTTGATTATTTGCCATTATATAACATACAATATAGGTTATACATTAACCAATCGAAAACTTTGAGTGATAAGAAAGAAAATATAGATATATTGTTTTATCCTATTATTATACAACACTTTTTTACTGATATAAAATTTAATCGAATATACAAAAACATATGATTAACTTATTTCATTAGGACAATGATATTACTGATTTTTCATGAATGAAATATTATCAATATGAATTATATGTCATCATTAATAATTCCATAAAAATGATACTATCAAATCTACAAAAGAGTAATTATATAAAACAAATCTTTTTCTAACTTAGAAACATATTCATTTCTAAATAGAACTCAGTATTTCTTTCAGTTTCATATCTTAATTATATAACATAAAAAAAATATTTTAATTAAATACAAGATTATATACAAAACACATTCCTTTATTTTTATGTTATGACACGAAAATTAGAATTAAATATCATACAAATATAAATAAAATATGATTGAAAGATAAACAACAAAATTTTATTCAATAAGACCATGATTAGCAAGTGAACGAGTTAAGAATGATGTTGTAGCACCAAGTTTAAATCGTTTACTACCTAATGTTTGTACAGGTGCAACTAGAAAGAAAACGAAATTTATATTTACTAATTTTAATAATATTCAATTTCTTACCATTAGGTTTTAGTTCTTCAGCGTCTTTATAAGAAAACAATCCTGTTGGTCTTTGAATCTGTTGATTGACATTTAACATTTGCACTTTTCGAGTTACATTTGGTTCATTATCCTCCTCCTCATCATCATCATCCTCCTCATCATCATCATCCTCTCGTGTTCTTTTAAGTGGACTAATCATAACCGTTCGCCGTGGTGTTATCGTAACATTATTATTATCCATAAGAGAAACTTGTCGTTTCATATTTGTACGTAAATCAATTTGACTATCAACAACAGTTGATATTGGTTCGATTTTCTTTTTTATTGTTACAAATGGATTAACAAGTTTAGTTGCTAAATTTGTCATTTTTTTACCAATTAATGATGTTTGTCGTTGAAATAATGATGTTGTAGAATCAAGTCGTTTAAGTTGATCATTTCCAAGAGAAACTTTCTTTTGTAATGATATTGTGTCTATTAGAAAATAAGAAATTTTAAAAATAGAAATAAATAAAAACTAAAAAAACCTGAAAGTGATTTTATTGTTCGCATTCCATGAATTGATGTCGATGGAGGTTTTTTAAATACACCTTGATATTCAAGTGAAGAAGATGATAATGTTGTTTGAATTTTTCCATTATCATCAACAGTAAGAATTTTTTCATTTGAATCATTTAAATGACCAAAATTACGTTTTCGTATGTCATTAACTGGTTCAGCATATGGATAAATAACTGAAGTTGGACCTAATTTAAATTAAATTATATTTTCGATTAGAAATAAAAAATCTTCAACTAACGATCATTGAATGATATTCGAGATAGTAATGCTGGTGAGAGATTACAAGTTGATTTTGATAATGTATTAGAATTTAATGGTTTAGCTTGATCATCACCAATCCAAGATTCGATAACACGGTTAGCAACTAAATATATTTAATAAGAAAAAAAGAAATAATAACTCATATTTAATTTGTTCAACATACCAGCTGAACGTCTTTTGAATTCAAATGGTTGATTAGCTTTATCATCTAATAGACGAGCTTGTTTTATCAAGCGACTACGATCAGCTTGATCAATTATGCCTAGTTTATTTAAATCATTTTCATTAGCTGTTAAAAATTCTTCAATTGTAGAAAATCGATCAGCTAATGCCATACTATATTTTAGAATTGTGCTATTATTAACTGTAAGATTTGAATCACGTACAAATTTAAGCCAAAATGACATGTCTATATGAGATAATAGAAAATATTTGTTATATAGAAGAATTAATTATTATTTACCGGATGTTAATCGATCGGTCATAGTTTTTTAGTGTTTTAATAAAAAAAAAAAATAAAGAAAACTGAACAAAGAGCTGTTGGCAATCATAAAAGAATGAAAGTTAACCAATTAAGGATAATCTATGGTAGAGGTCGCTGTCTAATACGAAGACATTCGATTTCAAAAAGGGTATGTTAATAAGCTTTTTAGATCTTATAACGTATCTCATCATAGAATGCTTTAAAATCTTATTTTTATCCTGATGCTATAAATTTCAGCAAGTGAAATATTTTAGTATTGAGTAAAATGTATTTGGAAAACAATTGAAAAATTTAGTTTAATCGTTGTTTTATTACCAAACGATATGCATAGAATTCTAATAGTATGTGGTATTTTATTTTTACTCAGTTTTTTTCATAAGAATAATGTCAAGATTTTTATCAACAAACCAGATTCTTCTTATCTATAACACGTAATGTTTGACATGACGCTATGTGTAAATATATATAAGATAGTCGTTTCTACTTTCTTATAAATATTAAATCAGCATTTACAAATTATCATAAGCAATGAGTGCATCATATCCTCCACCACCAGCTTATGAAGACGTTAATAAGAAGTCCGCAAACAAAGGATCTAATTCAAAATGGTATGTAAGAGTTATTTCGTAAAAAGAAAGAATATCTTTGTCTACTTTATCATAGGCAAGCATGGTATAGAACACTAATGACATTAGAATTCAATCAAGATGAAGCAACTGAATATGCAAAATTGTTTGTTACAAATGAAGTTGAAATGAATATGATACCTGAACTCAACGATGATCTTCTTAAATCAATAGGAATTGAAAAAGCTGGACAGTATGTGTAATTGATCGTAATCTTACATTGAAATATCTTTTTAATATTTAGTCGTATCCGAATTTTACGTTTACAAAAAAAAAGTCCACCTTCAACGCCAGTAACGACTCCAGCTCTATCAGATGTTACAGTAATGAAACTGGTTAATATTTAACTAATTAAAATCAATATTTTTAGATTCCACGATGTTCTTGGCATCCAAATGTAGCAGCTAATGAAAAATGTCGTAAATGTAATCGACTTGTATGTTTAAATTGTCGTCGAGTAAAATCATATGATGGCTATGTACGTTATTATTGTCAAAACTGTTATGACGATTGTACAATTCTATAAATAATCTATTTTTTGTTTGTTTGATTTTAATGAAGAAGGATTAAAGTTAATAATAAAAACTTCACTTAATGAATAGTTTATATAAAATCAAAGAATATAGTCTATGCGGGTGTGGGTGTGTGTGGATAAATATTCTGTTTATATCGACGTCCTTACTGACACCCACATTTTAATATTTCGATATATATATTTTTCGATATTTTTACATTCAATATTTTTACTTTCGATATTTCTACCTTTCGATGTTTTTACGTTTCGATATTTTTACGTTCGACATTTTTCCTTCGACATTTTTACTTTCGATCAAAGTAGGATAAATCTAATCGTTGTTTTATTACCAAACGATATGCATATAATTCTAATAGTATGTGGTATTTTATTTTTACTAATTTTTTTCGATTGACCGACAGTTACGGGCGGACATGCGCGCACGACGGTTGAGCGTATAGACACTTGTCCGCGAATTGAGAAAAAGATGATAAAATATATTTTCCTTAAATTTTATTTGAATTATGAACGGGCGGAAATTTATGCTTAGCTGCTGATAAAAAAAATTGTTCTTAATTTCAAAAAATATATTGATATAAATTATTAACAGAGATAAATAGTGTTTATTTACAATAAACAAACAAATACGCTACGTGAACAATAATTGAGGATAAAAAATGTACTCGTTCAAAAACTAAACACTAATCTGGCTATTTTAAAATAGTCGTTCCTAGAAACAGTATGAAATTCTTCGACTATGTTTCGTATTCGAAGATCAATTTTTTCATATTTTGTGCGTTGCTCTTTGTCTTTGACTGATTTTATAAGAGACATTTAGATCTTAGAAATTATTAAAATAATACGCACATATATATATATATATATATATATATATATATATGGGGTGTAACGATTCGTAACGAAAAATTTCCCGGGCTTTCGTAATACGAAGACCCTGCTATCATTTTTTACAGGAGTTTCGTAACGAATTTTGACAGGACTTTCGTATCAAACGTATACAGGGCTTTCGTCACAATTTTGACATAGCTTTCGTAAGCAAGTTTTTATTGCATTCATAACTAAAATGAGAGACTGATACTATAAAAATAATAGGGTATTCGTTAGGAATACTCATGTTTACAAATATCGCTTAAATCTCGTTCTCTGTTTCTACTTTTGAATTCCCTATATTATAATTCTGGTAGATCTCTAAGTTCCATGTAAACTCATACCAGTAACATCGGACTAGATATCATATTAAATTCTTATACGTTAAGATAGCCCTGTAAGAACGATACGAAGATCCAGTCAAAGTTGTTACGAAAGCTATGTCTAAATTGTTACGAAAGCCCTGTAAACTTGATATAAAAACTGTTAAAAAGTGATACGAAAGCCTTGTAATAAACCAATCTCACTAACAGAACATTTTTATTTCTGTTAATACATATGAGTAATTCAATCAGACGAGAACAGAACGAAAAGATTTTTTTTGCGCGCAAGCGTCGTGCGCGTTCATGTCTTGAGCGCATACGTCGTGCGCGTAACTGACGTGTTACGATGTGTAAATATATACAGGGGTGACGCGAGTCAGCCGACTTTCGGGGGGTGTAACGAAGTTTTGAATTTTTCGGGGGTGTAGCGAAGTTTTTTTGAATTTCTGGGGGAGTGTAACACCCTCGACACCCCCGCTGTCGTGCCAGCCTGAATATATATAACATAGTCGTTTCTACTTTCATATACATATTAAATCAGCATTTACAAATTATTATAAGCAATGAGTGCATCATATTCTCCACCACCAGCTTATGAAGACGTTAATAAGAAGTCTACAAAGAAAGGATCTAATTCAAAACGGTATGTAAGAATTATTTAGTGAGAAAAAAACAATATCTTTGTCTACTTTATCACAGGCAAACATGGTATAGCAAACTAATGACATTAGAATTCAATCAAGATGAAGCAACTGAATATGCAAAATTGTTTGTTACAAATGAAGTTGAAATGAATATGATACCTGAACTCAACGATGATCTTCTTGAATCAATCGGAATTGAAAAAGCTGGACAGTATGTGTAATTGATCGTCATCTTTCATTGAAATATCTTTTTAATATTTAGTCGTATTCGGATTTTGCGTTTACAAAGAAAAAGTCCACCTTCAACGCCAGTAGCAACTCGACCTGTATTAGATGTTAAAGTAATGAAACTGATTAATATTTAACTAATTAAAATCAATATTTTTAGATTCCACGATGTTCTCGGCATCCAAATGTAGCAAATGTTAAAGTAATGAAACTGATTAATATTTAACTAATTAAAATCAATATTTTTAGATTCCACGATGTTCTTGGCATCCAAATGTAGCAGCTAATGAAAAATGTCATAAATGTGATCGACTTGTATGTTTAAATTGTCGTCGAGTAAGATCATCTAATAATGGCCATGGCCATGGCCATGTACATTATTATTGTCAAGACTGTTATGATGAGTGTACAATTCTATAAATAATCTATTTTTTGTTTGTTTGATTTTAATGAAGAAGGCTTAAAGTTAATAATAAAAACCTCGCTTGATTAATAGTTTATATAAAATCGAAGAATATAGTCTATGTAAAGTACATATCAAGCATAATTAATAAAACTGCTAAGACTTCGCAAACTACACTAATATCAGAGGTATAAGACTAGAGGATTGTGAATTCAGTCACAATTTAGTGGCATTGAATGCATATCCATAATTAACTTTAAGTCTGTCTATGGTAGTATTTGGAGAAAGATAGAATAATCAAATTCATGCTTGTTGATGTATTGAATTGTATTCTATGTATTGATTTCAATCTTTCCGAAACAACAAGAATATCAAATTCTCAAAGTATTATATAGCTTTTGTATAATCTTTTCAATTATGCTCAAATTGTCATATGACATCGATAGTTGTTATTGATGAATTAAGAACACTCTAGATAAAAGAGAAATAGCATAACTAAACTGTTTCAAGTTTATGAAATATTTTGGTGTCTTTAGTTTTTTCTTATATACAGAATAACATTCTTCAGAAAATAAAATGAAAAAAATGATAATTTTATCTGAGTTAAAAACTAGAATCCAGTCTTGGTTCGATTGCTTTCGAATATTTTATCTCACTAAACAATTTATTCTTCTTTTATTCTGTTCTTTCGTCGAATATGTTTCTGTTTTTTTTTAAACATCAAAATCAAGGAAAAAAACAACGATTTTATTTTATCACAAACGTTGTATTTATCATTTAAGAAGATGTTGTTGTTGTTGTTGTAGCAGCACCTTTGCCTGAACGTTTACCAGCAGTAGTTGCTGTGGCTGTTGTAGTTGTTGTTGTTGCTGTTGTTGACGTAGCAGCTAATCGTTGACCACGAAGTAATGCAGATGCACGACGAAGAGCAGCCTAAAAATCTCGTATTATTATCATAATAAAATAATTTAAATCTAACAAACCATTTTAAGATCTTTACGATAGCTTTGTTTACGAATTGTTCGTCGAATACTGGTTAATGTACGACGTGAATCTCTAGTAAGTTTAACTTTATGAAAACGTTTAAGTGGTTTTTTAATATCTAAATTAAAATTGAGTATAGAAAAGTAATAAAGTAAATTAAAAATTCATACTTTTAACACTTCCTGTGGTAAAAACAACACCATTACCATTTTTAACAGCTTCAACTCCGACAACTTTTGGATGAATAAGACCGTTAGAACGATAAGTATTACGATTTTTTAAATTATTTGGCTCCTTTAAAAAATCAAATCAATATTAATGAAAAGAATAATGATAATTTCTTGATAGAACGAACTGTTGTTAATGTAGCCAATTTTCGTCTATGTAAAAATGATGAAGTATTACGAATAATCATCCATTGAACTTGAGATGAAGCTTGATCAAATCCTAGAATTTGATTAGAATTAAAATAAAGATATTCTAATTAAAACAAACTTACGTGTACGAACCATATTTGTTGACGACGAATTACAATAATAAAAACAACAATAAAATCTTTAAAAAAAATGTAAAAAATAATTTTTTTAATTTCTTATTCTATCAAAAAAAAGAAAATAAATAGGAAACTATGTATAACAGACAACAATTTGTCTTTTTCATATTTATAATTGGTTAATAGTTTTAACCATTCTGAAATGTGTCTTCATGTATTTCATTCTGTCCTTGATGCACTAACGTGTCAATGCTTTTACTTTTGAAAGACGTCACTAATATCGAATTGTATTATCAGTGAAAACTTTAGCATTTTTTTATACGTAGGAACTTAACGAATAGTACATCTCTTAATTCAATCTATAGCGAATCTGTTCTTCTTCATAGTAATCATATTGATATACATGTAAAACTACTAAGGAAAATAAAATGTAATATATATGAACTGATTAAAAAATATTCTGTTCGGATCTTCAGGATGATATAATTGATCGAGCTGAAATCTCTACCATACATGGAGCAGAGGCTTTTCGTAGAGTCTTATCTCGGTACTGCCTGATTTCATCAAATGTGGTACATTTGAACAGTAAATGTTTTTGGAAATACCTACGACTATATTTCAAAGGTAACTTTGAACTTTTATGAAAAATCTCACCTTCTTTCTTCTCATAAAAAATTATCTCAAGGTTCTTTTCAAAACCGATTTCTGGCTTTATGAACTCGATAAATCCGCATGGCGAGATCAATATTATCTTTGGAGAATAAATCTAGATATATGAATCAAAAGCTTCAGCTTGATCGGATAAAGTTAGAAAGTGATTGTTCATGGCACACTTGAATCTTATGTATGAACAACTGATTTCGAGAAAAAGTCAAAATGATTTTTAAAAATTGAAAGTCCATTTTTTCGTGCTTCTGCAATAAAGCCCGTCTTTTATTTCTCATCATACAGTCAAATTTTGATCGTTTTACTTAAACAGAGCGGGGTATGATAACCTTATAAAATATCAATAACTTCCATTAAGCAGTGATTCATTCTTCTTATATAGATAATATGATAAAGTTTACGTGCAAGAAGAATGCATTTACCTTTTCTAGATAAAACTCTAATATGATCGTTGGACAAGTGTTGCTAGGTCTAGCTGGTTTGGGTTTAACATGTTATGCATACTATGTCAAACAACAACATAAGAAAAATCCGAAGTATAAAGCTTTATGTGATTTAGGGCCGAATGCAAGTTGTAGTAGAGTATTAACGAGCAAGTGAGAAAATACACTCAATATGATTCATATAAAATGAATATACTATAAAATAGATATGGTATTGGATTAGGACTTACAACTAAATTATTTGGTGAAAATAGTATAATGAATGCATCGAATGTAAATCTCGGTATTGTACTTTATATTTTACAAATTATCTTCGGTATGTAATAAATATCGTTTTATAAAGTTTATTTTTTCTGTTATTTTATAGGTTTAATAGCGACACCATTAATTAATAAACTAGCTTTATTTTCATCGATAATATCCTGCATTACTTCGTTATATTTAGCTTGTATTCTAGCATTTGTTCTTAAAGATTTATGCCTCGTTTGTGTTGTAACTTATATTATTAATGCTGGTCTTCTTTGGTCAAATTTACAAACAGTCTATTCACAACATTAGAAAGACATTCAGTAATTTTTTTCGTTGACAAATTAATATTAAATCTGCATATTAATTTAGTCAGATTAACAGACTTAAATTTTCTTTTCTAATTTTATATTTGATATACGCGCAGTCTTTTTTTTTAATAAATTATTTTGATTGAATTTCTGTATTCATTCATGAAAAATTTAACAAATAATAAATTTAATTAAAAAAGTATCGATTAGATAGGTGAATAAATAAAATCAAGAAATCGATCTGTAGATATATCACTAAAAATCAGTAAAAGATTTTCTATTTTATTTTTGTTTACATAAAGTTGTATGATGTTTTGGTTTTGTTCCAAATAGTCAAATATTACTAACGAATATAATAATCATCACAATCCACATATATCTTGTGTCTCCTCCTATAATAAATTTCTCATCTCATATGCTTTTTTGACCTTTATCCATTCGATAAATTGTATAGTTGTGATTTAAATCCGCACCTAAAAACAAAGGAAAAGAAATTTCAAAAAATCGAATGCCAATCATTGCATAGTGATTATTTTTGATAAATAAATTGATTCTGAATGACCGTTAACTAGCACGTGTCAGTTACGTTTAAATTTAAAATGGAGAAAAGATATTGTAATCTAGGTTCGTTTTTGTATAGATTACTATGTATAGAAAATTAATTTTTATATTAAAGGAAAGGTAATAAGAGAAGAATATTTTATCTCATATCATAGCGAAAGTGAATTTGTCAATTTTATGTTCGATTTTTCAGATGAAATATTATTTTATTTGTCATAATATAGTCTGTTTATTTCACATAATCAATCATTTTAAGTCAGTATGAAGTTAATAAACTAATCGAGTTGTCAGGTGCTAGTTACGTTTTTTATTATCGATCTTTTTTGATTGATAAATACATTAACTGTGCATCTACATACTTAACTAAATGACTTGATACATATTGTGTTAATAAGTATCAAAACAGATTAACTATTTTCTTTTGCTGTGTCATATTCTGTATTCAGTTTTAAATTTTGGTTGGTCAACAGATCTTTGAAAACAATTATCGTATTCACGAGCTTTTTTATGATTCTGATACGAATGCATATATATATTTCGATTGATTAATAGGCTACATGTAAGAATCAACAATGATAACGACGGTGAAAGTCTTTCATACACGTTATCAAAAATTGTCTGTTATACGATGAATTTTTGGCTGTAGTTTTGTTTAGAATATTGATGTTTATCTAAATTATCATTCGTAGCGCACTCTTTGTGTGAAGAATAAAACATATATTATATGTCGACATATATTTCCAAATTTAAAGAAATTCAGAAAAAAATACAAATGACCTACTAAATTATACTATTCTGCGTACTTTAAATATTTTTTAAGGATTTACTGACATAAAGAGAAACGTTATCTTCGAATCGTGATATTCATCAAAATATCTTACATGATGGACTCACATTTACATAGTATATCTGTATATTGTACATTAGGTTTATACAAATCTATTGCCATTATCGACGAAAGTCTTTTACCGCAGTTTTTCTGGAATACTTGATAGTGTATTGCTAGAATGACAATTCAAAATGATTTATCATCAAATGATATTTAGATATGTGTAAAATACATACATCATCATGTCATATTGTATGATGGTGATTATCATACGTAGTAACCTCATATCATATTGTATGGTGGTGATTATCGTACGTAGTAACCTATTTATCTTAGATATCCTGTATTTTACTATTCATAAAGATGACAGGCATGAATAAAATGGAGGCCATGTACTTAAATAAAAGAATGAATAGTCGCTCTCAGATGATGATAAGATGAAATAATATATAGATCGAATAAATAATCGCACTTTACTATTCAATTTAAAGAATGATATAAAGAAAAACGAACGAATCATATAAGAATTCAAAAACTAAACTATCCAATAAAATTCCATTTGCTGATTAGTACATACCTAGAATATTATAATAATCGACCATTCAAACTAGACTATATAATGAAAAACTTTTCAATATATGATAATACTCGATTAGACATGGTGCAAGAACTAAGCATTTGTAATCTTATAGTTGTTCATATGAAAAACTGTCTGTTCGATAGAAATATTTGTAAATAAAATATATACCTCTTTTTATAATTATGCATCTACTTAAAAAGAACTTTTAGTATAATGAAAACATGCTTATTATATAAGCAATTAGCATATATTAAAATAAGAAATCATACAACATTTTACAAAGAATTTAAATACATTTTCGAATTCGAGTATAACTGAATATTCAATCAATATTTCAAAGTTTAGTGTTATTTTTTTAAGAAAATTTTAAATATAATTGCTTATCAATTTAATAAGCGAATATCTATCTATTGCAATACAATCTAGATTGTTACATTAAAGGTCAAAAAAACATCCTGGCCACATGAATCCGCTTAGAGGACGGCAAATAGAAAAGAAGAGAAAGCAAAGCAAAGCGAAGAAGAAAAGAAAAATTGTATTTTTTTTTCTCCGAACATTAAGTATAAATAAGTAACTAGTGTGCAAAACAATATGAATACACCTCTTATTTACATTTCAACGACAGACAACAATTATTGATATAATATCGAATTAATATTTGTATAAGGTACGTAATTATTTTTATTATTTATTAATCAATATTTAATAACCTATAATAATGAAAATTTTTAAATGATACTGATTAGATATATAAAATTTATATTAGAGAAGGAAAGTTAAGAAACGGTTTTCTTTCGTATTTGTAATCAAGTGAAAAACAGACGCATTGACCTTCATATACTTACGCTTTATTTTTTTGTCATTAATAATAAATATATATGCATATTGAATGATTATATTTTATTATATAAAATAAACATGAAATATTAACTATTTAAAAATAAAAATCATTTTATTTAGAATTGAAATAATTCAATGTCTGCAAATTCACCACCATCAGATGAAACAAAACCAACGACGAAAATAACAAGTATCTGTCAAGTATGTGGAGATGAGGCCTCAATTATTAATTATGGTGCATTAACTTGTTTATCATGCCGAACATTCTTTCGTCGAAATGGTTTTAATATAAAAGTTTGTTATTGTTTTTTTTCTTCTTCTCTTCAATCAAATTGAAATAAATATATTTGTTTTTTTTTGCCTTTTATTTAGGCTGTTTCTCGATGTCGATATGGTTATAAATGTGAATTGACAAAATTATCAAGAAAACATTGTGCTGCATGTCGTCTTGCTAAGTGTCTTGCTGTAGGCATGAGCTCTGATTTAATACGTAAAGAAGATTTAACTAGCCCAAAACGTAAAGAAGATTTAACTGGACTAAAACGTAAATTTACTACATCTCATGAAGAAAAATTTGTTGAAAATAAAACAATTATGGTGCGTACAAGTTAAAAAATGTTATTAATATATCTACAAAAACATGGAATGTAAGAGCAGCGAATATGAATAAATGTAATAGATTTCATTAAAAACGGAATTAAAAAAAAAGAATGATTATTTATAAATGAGTTGTAGTAATAAATTAGTATCACATAGGCTGTTTTTCTTTTTTAGGTAGATTATTCTCTTCGTAATTAATATATTTATTATTTAAAACTTGCCGTTTCGGACAACAATGTCGTCTTTCGTCAGAAGTGATTGTCCATTTTTTCCTTAGATATTTATTTGTTTCTTTTCTTCTCTGTCCATTTAATAATGGTACGGACGATATGTAACTGACCTTATCGTATCCGACTGTTACCGTCTTGTCAGTACTACTATTAAATGAAAAGAAAAGAAAAGAAACATAAATAAATAAATAAATAAATTAGAAAAAGAATAATTTACCTAAAAGTTATTTCTACCGAAATTCTTCAATCTTCGAGGTCAGATGTATTTAATCGAGAAGATTGACCATCTATATATACATATATTTCTTCATTAGAAAATCTTACAAAATTTCAGATCAAAATTAACAAAAAAAATATGTATTTTCGTTTCATTTAGACTATACCACAAGCAAATGCGTTAGATTTTCCAGCAGATGATTGTTTACGTTCAAATTTGAATAGCTCAGATTGGACTATAATTTCCAATGTTATACATGCATTTGAAAGATTTAACCCAGTGCCAGAAATTCGTCGTACGATTGAAACAATAACTACATCAGCATCTAGTTTTCAGTTTGATTTAAATCGAACACTTCAAATGATATCATCATTTTCAAATTGCTTACAATTATTTATTAGTTCAGTACCTGACTTTAAAATTCTAACTACATCAGAACAATGGTCTCTTTTGCAACGCAATATGTTTGGTCTTTTATCTATCGGTGGTATATATTTAATGCGTGAATCTGGTATATTTGATAAACCTGAAAATGAAATGGCTGTTGTACCTTTATATGGAAATGAAGTTGTTCAACAAGCTAAATTACTTAGTAGACAACTTGATTGTGATCCAACACTTCTCAAACTCATGCTTATAGCAATTGCATTTTCTTCAACTTGTTTTACAAACGATAATCGTGGAGATACGACTAAAGATAGTTTATTATTAGGTACATTTCGTTTATTTGGAAGTCAAAATGTTTATGTTGAACTTTTATGGAAATATTTAAATCATCAATATGATTATTATGAAGCAGCACAACAATTTTCAAAACTTATGAAACGTCTTCTTGATGCTATAAAATTTTCAGCTGAAATCTATGAAAATAATCAAATATATCAAAGATTTATTGATAGTTTACTTGAAGAAGCTGAAAAATCTGCAGTAATTAATGATAAAACAATTATTCCACTATGGGGAAAAGGTTAAGCTAACACTGTATTATAAATATTAAATTTTCTTTGTCTTTTCATTTCTTATTATGTCAGATGTTAAAAACTGTAATTTAACTGAGAACAATATAACAATTATCAAATAGAATGAAACTTAATAATTATTTTATTTGTAAAGCTGCTGATTGAACTCAATCATGTATAATGAATTAGCCCGAAAATAAAACGGTACACATTTCATAGCAAAAATATAGTCTAATTATGAATAATGTATCATAGTTTTGTCTACAAGAAGTTAAACTAATTTATTAAGTACTGAGAGACATAGAAGAATACTTTCACGAGGATAGGGGTAATAGTATCTAAAACATGTGCATTTCGTTGTTTCTCTATCAATAAAAGTTGTTGTAAAGATATTGATTGTAAGATGGATAGAAAATAATTGATCCTAGGATAATAATTGCGAGTAGTAGCATACTTTGAAGAAGCTTTATAATGATTTTTAATGAAAATTTTACTATTTACGGTAAAGAGAAAGAAAGAATATATGTTTGATAACATCAAGACTTGAATGTAGCCTACGTAGTAGAAGTTAACCGTTTATTCACATCGATCTATTTTGTTAACAATGCTTTATATTAAAAGATAGAATATTATTGAAAAAGTTTGATTTAGAAAAGAGATATTATTGAATATTTAATATGATGGAAATTGATCGTTCAATTGGATGATTTGAATCATTATGTACTTTCAACTAACATGAATCAAATCATTTATTAAATAAGATTATTTGATTTTATATTAAATCTGTCTCAATACTAACAGCATAAAATATTTTTCACTATTAATATTATTCTGTTACAGTTTAACGAACTACACATACATTTCTAATGTAATCGATTGATTAACTGAAATACGATTTGTTATTTATCTTGCATTCAATTCTTCAGAAGATTGCTCTTCATAGCATAAAACAATTATTTCTTAATTCTCACCAGAGTATTAGATTTGATAATACTACAAGTAGTAATATTATGATATCTTTATATGTAATCGATCATGTTCAATAGACAAAATTGACCACTTTATGATCTGATATTTGTTAAATTAATATTCATCATACTAGAGAATATCTTTCATTTAATTAATAATCAGTGTAATACAATAATCATCAAATATTCACGATCTTAATGAACTTTATCATTATCTATCAGATCAAATTACCAAACATATTGAACGATTAGTCATTCTTGAGGTTAATAAAACATATTTTTAATCTTTATATATACCAAAATGGTTGGAGATACGCTATAGTTTAACGACAAGATGAAGTGTACATTTTTTCATTTTGAATAATATTAACAGAAAAAAGACGTACGACACCAGTTTTTATAGTCTTAAAATTGTTAGTTTCTTTTTGTACTGATCTAACAAATGAGATCTAGTCTGAATATTCATCATAGTTCTTCCTCTATCTTAAAAATAAGTTTTTATATTGAAATAGAAAAAAACTATTCTTAGCTAGTTACTTTGTTTTTTGATGAATTCACTCGATGAATATTTTTCTTCATTTAATTTAACTAAGATGATATATATCATAATTCAAATAAAACATTTCTTCTTCTTTTTTTTTCTCTTATTGCTGTCGTATATTTCTAATCACGAATTGTTCTTACTATAGTTACATAAACTATTCGATCAATAATGAAACTTCTCATATATCGATAAACAGATGTTTAGATTCTCTTTTACTTCTTACGTTATATCGTCTACACTATCACTCAACTTAATCATCTATTTATGTACATAGAACGTTCAAGTGTAAAATAACAATGAGAACAATCAATCATATGTACTTTTTTTTCTCTCTCTCTCTCTCTCTTTAAATATAGAAATGACATGATTTAACATATAACTTAATTGAAAGCTTTAACCATACGGTCTAATTATTATTAATAGGGAAATACTTGATTATTAAAAATTCGATTGATGTCCTTTCCTTCTTTTTTTTTTTCTTTTAATGAACAACTCGTTTCACGTCCGATATGAATAGAGAGAACTATAAGTATACTCATATACGAGTAATTTTATTATCTATTAAGTACTACCTGCTTAAGCTGACAGCGATCATTGACTGAGTCGATCGACGTTATTACTCTCGCAATCTGTAATTGAATAGCCCCATCCGTTCGTCATTTATCATATTGTTCAATAAAGAAAGACATTGATTATTTTCTTTTTCCTCTCGTCATTTCTACATATTCTTTAATTCTAATCATTGTCATTTATCTACTAGAATATGTACTGGTCAGTATTACTACTGTTTATTATTAGTTCACTATGTTCATTGGAATTACAAACAGAAGATGAAGATCTTTGTAAGTATAATTGTTTAATATATTTAATAAGAAATTAGTTAATATTTGAAATAGAAAATCATTTTTTTGTTATGAATGTCTATGTAAATGTTTTTTACATAAAGCTAGTTGTGATTGATGAGGTGATTGAATATTGTAATTAAGACGAAGTAGACGATGTCGTATACATAAATGAGAACAAACGGGAGCAAGTAGTTCAGGTAAATTATGTTGAAAATATATTAATTTAGATTCTAAATTAATAGTATCATTTGTATCGAGAAGATATTTAAATAATTCTTTCGACATATATATTTTTTTAATATTAAAAATAATCTAGTTGCTATGATTATTTCTTTTTTTGTGATGACTATTATCAATTAATAGTTTAATAGAATCTATTGAAGTTTTAGTCGTCAATAAGAAAGAAGCTATCCATTAGAGATGTCTGAATATTTTTCTCTGTTTGTGTACTCAAAAAGTGAGTACACTACTAGAATCAGTCAGTGTGTCCGACCGGCCGTATACACGATAACGTTTGAAAAGAGAGTCAGATTTTGATGAAATCTTCTACACAATTCAGTCTCGTCAAGATCTCAGTCGAGTTCGAAGTTGAGGCTAATTGGACGAGCCATTCCCGAGTGACTGTAAAAATACTAATATTTCCCTATGATCTCCGTATACACTTTTTGCAGTACACATAACTCTCGGATAAAATCCGAAATTTGCGAATTGAACACGCATGAGATAAGAGTTGATTAGATATGAATATTATTGAATAGAGAAGAGCGAAAGTTGAATCATATTGTTAATACTTTCATAAAAGTTTCGCAATTCAAATTCTATAGTCGTTTGTAGAAACTTCTAAAACCACGATTTTTTTTATTAAGATAAGTTATAACATCAGTTATTAATTCAATGATGTAAGCATATGATTAAATAGTAACAAAGCATAAATGAAAAAAAGCAGTATTTTATCCAGTGGGTGGGCGCTGCCCACCCCAAATTTCGATTCGCCCACCCGAAAAAAGTGTAACTTCCTAACCTATTATAAAAGTTAGTATAAGACGAAATAATTATTTGCTCATTTCATTAAGTTAATATCATACGAAAGTAAATTATCGATATAAATCAGTAGCTAGCATCTAAAATATATTTTTCACAAAATCAATCTATCCTTTGTTTTTACCTTCCAATAGAATTCCTATGACATTATCTGGGCATCCTTTAGACACAACTTCAATCTACTTTACTTAAAAATATCATTTATATATCTAGTTCGCAAAGTTTATGTTTCTTATCCAATCGAAATATTGATATATTTTTTTATGGCAATCTTAAATATGTAAATCACTTTTCTTTTTATAAACAATAAGTTATTAAAATTATGAACACTCTTATGTGATTTGAATTTTAATTAAAAAAAAAGCATTAGAATGATTCTATTGTACACTGTATTCATTCTTTTTTTTTCATAAATGATCTCATGCAGAGTGAAAAAGAATGAAATGTATAACAGTTCATATTATATGATTATTAAAAAAAATGTCCAAGTAGTCT